CTATGGAAAGAATGATCGAGTAATTTGGTAAAAGTAATGCCTCACGGAAAGATCTAACTCTAGTAAGTATCTGAAACATTCGAACAATTGAATTTTACCAATTTCAAGGACGTAGCCATTCGAAATTTACTCGAACAGTTGCACTTGAAGTACATCTACATACATTGGATACGTAAGTCTACCAACAAGCACAAGCAATTTAGAATGAAATGCTATCAAAGTTTTCTATCATAAAATAGGCTTGCCTGTATTACCATAATATCAACGAAGTCTACGAAGCTATAAGATGCCTCCTAACTATGGTGAAGCAAGCACAGTAGGATACTGTAAGAATGATCATTATTTTTTACCCAGCGAGGTAGACTGATTGAGCAGGCAGAGTTAAGTAGTCGTAAAACAGTCGTCGTTAATTGACATGTTCGAAGCTGTCCACGTTATTCGCTATTCAAAACATTACGACCACGGTAATATTTCCCCGTCGTGATAATATACCTCTGACACGCTGCGCAACAATTTTTTTCTAAATTCCCGTTTGCGATTACTCGAGCATCTGCTATGCAGGCTAGACCTTCCTCGTTGTGAGTTATTATTTCCATATATCAAGACTAAATTAAAAGAACGTCGCTTCGCAGACGGTGATCAGACGATTGCTGCGTGGGATGACGCGTGAGCTCAAGTGCCCGAGCAAAGTGATTAAAAATATTCGCTGACTGGTTTCCGCGCGCGAAGTCTACGGAACTTCGTGGCAAAAATACTTCGGGGAATCGCGTACATTCCGAAACAATCACCTATTTCGAATGACTTCACTGTTTAATCGAATGAACTATTAATAAAAACGAATTCTATTTTATCGATGCATCGATTGCTTATTTAGAGAATGATAGACGACCTTTAATTTGAATTCTTTCGATTCTCGACATTTCATTGTTGCCGATCGCCTAGGAGCATGATCCTCTAATTATTATGGGCGGTGTAATAGGGCACGCATGCACGGTGAACCCTTTTTGCGCGACGCGAATAGTTCGGCGTATCGTTCAAGTATCGCAACGTCCCCCGACGTTCTTACTAGAGGAGAGGAGGCAATAGGAACGAGGGAAAAGAAATTCCCCGTAAAGACAGCGGTTAAAATTATAACCATTTAACGATTGTGAGAACACGGCGTAGAATGTTGATGTGTACGAGGACTCTGAATCGGGAGATAAAGACTCGGATAGAAAGGAAAGGAGGAGGGAGCAAGGGACGAAGGTGACCTCTTGTCCGTGGCATTGTGCGTCCGATGGCTGCGGAGCTGTGTTTCTTGCTTAGAGTAGCAACGCGAAGGAGCCACGTTGCTTCTTGGAGGCCGATTGGTTCTCCGTCCTGCACCAGCGACTCTCGCACCTGCCAACTAGCGTACGCGCCAAATATTTTGACTGTTCAAGGGCACTCACGGCACACCCCACTACTAATAACATACATAGATAAACCTTTATATAAAAATTACAAAGTTAAAATATTTTATCACGAGCTTCAGACATCCCAAAAAATATTTTATTCGTTCCTCCCTCTCCATTGAAAACATTATTTTATTTAATCTGCAGATCATCTATTACTCGTAATAATATTAAAAATATATCTATTTCAAATTTTACCCAGCTCTACTGCCCTCCTTTTACAAGCTGCCGATCCAACCTCCTTAAAGTCTGCCCTGAGTGACGTATACAACTTGCCCCTGTACTCCGAATGCCATAACCTTCGCCACCTTCCAGCACCCACCTCCCGTCGCTCCCTACCTTCGACAACTCGAGCCGTGCCCTCTCCTACTCTGCTCCTCTGCATCCGTTCTACGATCCACCTCCCTTTATCTTTTCTTCACTCCTTTTCCTTCTTCGCCGCGATTTTCCTCTCCGTCTTTCTGTCACGATCTCCCTTTTTCTCCACGCTTGGACCGCCTCGACCGTTCAGTAAGGCAGGAGAAGAGTTACAGGATCACTGATACCATATCCGACCTGCTCGCGATTTCTTCGCCGACGTAGGAATACGTTCCGGTCGGCCAAACGCTTCTTACCGATTCGTTACCGTGCGAGATGGCTCGCTCGAGATTAGGATGGCTTCCCTTTCGGACGGGAATTGCGAGAGATCGTCTTCGAGTCCTTGGGTTTCTTTGGCGCTCCCTCTGTTTCCAGTCTTTGGCAGGAGTCCATCAGTCAAGGCGCTTTGAGACCCGTTTGGCTTTGCTTTCGTGGAATTTTTAGGAGAAACTTTGACTGGCTTTATGGGAAACACTTCTTCGTTGCAGTAACCCGTATCTTTGGTCTGGGATGGGTCGGAAAGTAGGGATTCGAGGCGAACCTTGCTTCTTCACTTTACTTTCGATACTATTTATTCTTTACGATTGAATTTATCTATTTTTCTTTACGTTTCCAATGTTTTTATTCGAATCTCCACGTTCTTGCTAGGCAACCGCGTATTGCTGTTACTGCGTTAAGCTGATCTTTTATTGGTTACTCGAAATTGTCATTTAAATAAGAATTCCGCTCATGTTTGTTGCGGAACGAGCAGAGTCGCCTCGGTAAATGGGAAAACGTGACTCGCGGATAGGTCAGGAATTCTGCCAATCCTCGACGTCCGTTTCTACTAATTTGATTAGACGATTAACCGCGTGCCGTGTTCGGTTCAGTTTGATTACCCTCGTCTCGACGCGATGCATGTCGTAACGAACTCGACGAAGCGGCGGCGCTCGATGTAAATGAAAATTACGCAAATCTCGGTACAGTTAATCGAAGTCTTCGCATTGTAATTTGTAAGGCCTCTGCGCATGTTGATTCGCAAGTTGAACGCACGGATTCGTTGTATGGAATAATTTTCATTATCGCTGGGTCGATTTTCGAACAGAAGGAGGACGTAAAGTAAAACTAATTCTTAATTTCTATTTAGAAACAATGGATTTATAAGTCTACCCATTTATTAAGTGTTGAAATTTCTTCTGGAATATATCCTTCAGAAACTTGTTACAAGTTCTCCATATGGTGGGCGTACAAACTTGCAAGTAATTGTCTCGAATTTATCGTACGACGAGATCAAATAAAAACAAACGAACAAAGAACGACGTCTACAGGTCATCGTTCATCCGCAAAGAATTAAAACCTTAATTTGAATTTAATTCGTGCCAGGTGTCCGAGTTAATGAGAGCTAATGGGATCTTAATCTTCCTCAAATTTAAAACGCCCCGCGTTCACGGCTAATTTCAGTAACCAAATTAGTTTTTCTACAAAAGGGACAACGATTTACGGTGTCGTAGCGTTGAACGGACATTCGTACATCCCAACAATCGTTAACTTCCTTGAACGTGCTTCGTTCATGGTTCTGCCGGAGAATGTACAGGGCGACTGAGAAAAAGTACCAGCTCAAATTGTTGCAAACAGAATTTCATTTGTTTCAATGTTATCAGGGATGTAATGATTCCTGAAATAATACATTGAAAATATTAACATTTTTGTTTTTCCAATCTTTAACGTAACAGTTCAAGATATATACCAGCAAAAATAATCATAATTTAATGAAGTAAAAGTCATTAAAGAAACCGACAAAAACTATATATAATCTACAGATTCGTGGGGTCAGTTGAGATCCTAAAACTAGGTTCGATGCATATGGTCAATTCTTGCTTAGCATTGTTAATGCCATGTAATCCTGAGTTTGCGTTTTTCTATCACCCTGTATATTGTCGTCCGCGAATGCTACTACAACCGACATTTTACTCGGAAATGAGAGCGAGTGAAAAAGGCAAGTTCCCTCTCGGGAGTGCTTCTGCCCTTTTGCTGCAACAGTGTTGAACGCCTGAGACACGGCCCTCGATGAGCCGTGAGACCCAGGTAGCATTGTTGCAAAATATTGCGTATACACATAAAAAGCATTGGGTAGAAAGGAAATAATATAAACACATCATTCGAGTGCTCGATTTCATTCATAGAATATAAATAATAACATTCCATGCTCATCTTGGAAAAATAATAAATATTTTAGTAGCTATTAAATAACTTTCATTTCCATAAATTACCGTTTAATTCGACCAGGAAATCGAAGCTGTAGAAATTTAATAAACGGCGTTGAACAATGGACGCGGTGTTATTCATCTCCGCGATAACTCCAGACCCGATATTGCAAAGAAAACTTCGTAAAAGTTTAACAATAGGAAAACCCTCGACAATGGACCTGACGTGAAGCAGACATTCATAATTTCATTAAAAAAAAAAAAAGTACGATTTTTATAGCTTTTATATTTGATTTATTCAATACCACAATGTATTGAGAATTTATTGTAACGCTATACGATAGACTTATAAAGAAACTTTTATACATAATGCTTCATAGATAGTTTGATCAAACAGGTATAAAATGTTCGAGTATTTCGTAATTAGTGAAATATCAGCGCGAAAAGAAATAGCGAAGTATAAAGTTAACGATACCGCAAACGAATTTGTTTTGCAGACATTCGAAAAAGTATTCGAGGACGAAACAGTCTAAGCACCGCGCGAAAAAAGGGGAAGCAAACAACGCGCTAATCGAATGAAGCTTGCAATCCGGTTGGCAAAGTTGATTGAGAGCCTGAAACCGACAGAGAAAATTCCGCAACTTACTCGCTGCTCTCGAATGCAAATAATTAATCGTTGCTCTTAATTAATTTAATTCCGATTACGCTCTCCGTCGCGGAAATTAGAGGGAATTACACAAGCAGCGCCGCACGGCATAAAACCGTCGAACTAATGATTTACCCAGGAGTACTTGTTGCGCGTTTCGTGAGATGGCGCGTCGTGGCACTTGTTAAAGAGCGACACAAGATTCGAAATTCAACACTCGAATCGTTCTTTCGAATCAAAAGAAAATATTTCATATATATTTTGACTTATTCGAGGTCCAATAAATGTAGTTAAACAGTGAAGTATTACTATATTCGTGCATCTTAATTGCAATTTAATGTAAATGATGAATAGTGATCTATTTTTAGTGAAAAATGTAGATCAACGCACTCGAGGTTGCAAATTAAAGTTTTGTGGAAAGTATAAATATGATTTCTTAGAATAGAACACAATCTTCTTACTGCATGACGTTATTCTCGACTATTAAGCGATCCAAAGCCATCTTCATTCCCTTCGATGGCGTTTGTCGAAAATATATCTTCTGTCGCGAGGCGTCTGTAAATTTCCAGTTAATTCTATATTAGATAGTTTGTCATGATACGAATCAGAAAGATAAAAAAATGTATCGGACGGAGTTTGTCATTCCTTGGGTCCAGATGCGGGCGAGGGATGAGCATACTCTGAAAGCGCGCAAGTTTGATCCCGTGGTAAGAAACGCTGTGCTTCCATAATTATAGCATTCGTCGTTTAAATTCATTCTACTTGTTCATCAGACAAACTACCCACGTATTGAGACAAAATTGATTTCAGTTGGAGCCGTTCGCACCTCGTCATTCGATCTCGTACTTTAACAATAATAAAAAAGATAGCGCGAAATCGGCGTACGAGCGTCTTCACAGCGCGGCGGATTTCGATCCTGGCAAGCCTCGATGCGATCGCACGAAACCCAGCCTTTATTGGCTCGAGATCGCGAAGGAGAACAATGGTCACACGGTTCCAATGACTTCTAATCACTGGTACGGTCGACCGAACAGAATCCAAGTCGACTTTCCTCAGAAGAAATTCAATCGGTCGAGCAAAATGCTGGAGTTCTACAGTCGGTCCGGCCTCAACCTAATCAGCGACGAGGACGAACGTCGGCCAAGAGTCTGTTAGGCAAACTTTTTCCTCTCATTTTTCCTGTAACGATCGATCAAACGTTCACCGTTGCATCGAGGTACGGGGCGAAAGAACGAAGAAAACAGACAACCAGTTGCGAAACGTTCCAGAAAGCTGCCGGAGTTGAGAAAAATTATCGTGAAACTGGTAATTATTACAAGGCCTGACGTATTATTGGCGCCAGCAAAGTTCCCTCACCGGTGTTTACACGCGGAAAATCCGCTTTACGCGTCGCGATGAATAAAACTAACCGAGAGATATAATTTCGCGAGTCGCGTGCTGCTGTTTGCATTTAATCCGCGCCATATGACGATTCGACTGAAAAATTACTCGCTCGGCGGAGCACTGTTTGTAGAAAGAAATTAATTCGTTTGGAATACAGTACCGTCGACGTGGCTCGTCCAATTTTTTTTTTTTTTTTTTTTTTTTTTTTTTTTTTTTTTTTTTTTTTTTGGTCGTTTTCGCGTGGAATGTACTTACAGTTGACACAGTGTACGGGTAAACACGGCCAGCCGATCGTTCTCTTCAACTACCGCGGATCGAGTAAATACGAGCCTGTTCATACGCGGAATAACTTTCGTGGGCGACCTCCTCGAGGACAACGTAGCAATTCATAATGGAACACATGTTACGGTTTCCGTCTGTCGTTAGTAGAGTTCGTGGGGCTGAATTTATGGCAAATACGGAATTATTTGCGAACACGGAATTATTTTCAAGGAAAATCGATCGATTTGTTTTTTTTTTTCTTTTTTAGAATTGTTGGTCTTGTGCTGAGCGCTGGAAAGGATTCAAGAAGAGGTTAGATCTAAATTAAAAATAATTTTAAATGACTGAATATTTTAAGTGGATCCAAAATTTTATATTGTAAATAACTTTCAACTCATAAATTACCGCTACTTATAATTAGTCGTATTCGCAAGGAAATGAACTTGTTGTAAAAATATTTAATAATCCACGTTTCACAATAGACGTTGTATTGTATACCTCCATAATAACCCCAGGATCCACATTGCTAAGAAAACTTCGCGGGAAGTTTAACAATAGGAAAGCCATTAACGGAGCAACCGCGGAACAGATATTCGTGAACTATTAGGGAAGAGAAGTCTGACTTTAATACACGAAAATGTATGTTTAATTAGAGAACTCTAAGTGAAGTACGTCGAGTTAAACAAGTTAGAAATCATGTTTGAAACGTTATACGTGTGCTTGCAAGTACTTGTTGGTGTTTGTACTGACATTATACCTTGGGTATAAATCATTACGGATAAATAATATGTTTCATAATTGAGACTATTGAAAAAGTCACCGTTTATATCAGTTTATGCGCTTCTTAAATTCCGATCCCCCACATGGACAGACATTTCCCTAACCCTTGACATTTCTTTCCCTGTCACGGCGTGTCTGAGTCGAATCCAGATTTAGATACGCGGACTGTGTCGTTATACAGGACAGTGAACAAGATTATATTCATGAAAATGGCGCACATACACGTTTCTGACATACCCAACCGAAACTGACTACAACTCGATGCTCCAAAGTTCCGCCGAGAGTGCCCATATAATCCCTTGCTCCGTCATTACCATTAAAATTTCAACATCTCAAACTTTTCCCGAGTGTTGCCTTAGCACGGTCGCTGTAATATTCAAGAAATATCAAGAATCCATGTCTCGGAGAATTGGGTCAAAATTTTGTAGGCCTCTTATCTATGAGTACTATAACCTCCATAGTAAGACAGTCAAAAGGAAAAATAAAGTTGCCATCATTGGCCACGAGTGAAGAATTCAGATCCAGATAAATTAATCTCAAGCTTCCACATATAGTGACGAGCTCCTAAGAAAAACTCGATTAAATTCGTACCGCCATTTTTTTCCCGCCAAAAAACCTTCTGCGACACCCTCCTTATATTTTTCCCTTCTTCCAGAAACGTTCGCCTACGAACCCTCATAAAAATTTCTACCTCATTTCCCTCAGTTTCGTCAGTTCTTTAATTTAAATGGAAAGAGCTTCGCGGGCGCGTACTTATACACGCGTGTCGAATTCGAGTCGAGTAATCTCCCCGCGAGCTCGCAATTCCGTTTCGCGTGGCGCGTAATTTCAGTTTTAAATTGGTGGCTGGATATTAAGAATCGTCCAGGATATTACTCGCGAACGTTGCAAACAATTTCATTCAGGTATCTTCAAAGATATACGCCGACGTCGAGCGTATTCCGCGGCGTTTCTGTTCCCGCTGCCATATCCAAGCAGAGAGGAAGGTCGGTTGATATTGGGATTGCCAGTTCCGAATACGAGGGTGGAAACACCGCGGAAAGAGGTACGCGAGCCTGTATACACGAATGCATGCACGTTATATACTTCCGTCTCTGGCTGCAGCAAAGTTGGCTTCAAGTTTCCGTGTCGGGGTATCCCGAGATCGCTGCAACTCAAAGGTCTTATAGAAAGTATCGATACGAATCGCGGCGACTTTATGTAATCTAAAGCGCGCATATCGGCCCTCGAATGTGTACGTTACGCCCATGTCGAAACCATCGACGGTCACATGTTCCACGAGGGGTTATTTCTTCCATAGAGTCGAGGAATTCTCGCCTTCCGGTGACGATTCTTAAAAGGTTTCAGGAGAAGCGATCAAAATTCGAGCGATCGCGCATGAATTGGAAAAGACGTTTCAGAATTTTTGCCTGATGTATTATATTTTATGGAAATTATTGTTCAATACGTTTTTAGAATTGCTGACTACGGATTGTCACAGGGGCTTTTTGAAGCAAGGATATGGAAGGAAGCATAATTGTAATACTGGGTAAAATATTAAAAGTAAAATATTGTAAAATACGTGGAATATTACATAGATAAAAATGTTTAAAATAAAATCATTAAGATAAAAAAATAGCTTGAGAATTATTCGATATAAAATTCTAAATATATAAAGGTGTCGGTATGTTGGCGATTATGTTGATGAGAACTAGCTAATACTTATGTCAACGACCATACCACGCATGCCACACCAGTTCTCGTCCGATCA